TTGCTGGATGTAACTGTAAGTTCTATGCTAACAGTTTCTTCTCTTGCACTTCTTGCTTGTCAAACTCTTTTCTAGCTGCTTGCTTTCTTGTTAACTATGATCTTCAAAGATTTAAATGCAATGTCAATTTTCATCTGTTTCCTTGAATTTTGTTCTTTTATTGTTCTCTCTCTTTCACGTTCAATAACCCCACTTAATAACCCCACTTAATAAGCATAATCAAAATTGTGATAAAATTCCAATTTTTCATGAACAGTACACAAAACTCTTATTGCCATTTTCAAACTTTGAGTAGTTAGATTAAATATGTTAATGAAATATGAAAGTAATGGTGTATACAATGAATATACAAAAATCAAGTTTTTAAATATAGTCTTACATTGTGAAAGTGACTTATTGCTGATTGTTAATCTTAATTTTATTTTAAATACCATATCCTATCAGAATAGAGTTAATGGTGACACTCCACAGATTCTTTTTCTTTATTATTTGTGAATTTCCTTTACTTCTTGAGAAAGATAGTGGTATGATTTCCTGATACCTTTTCCTGGACTAGTTGCTACCCAAAGCTAGATAGCTCAGTCTACTGTACAATTTGACCAATAGCTGGTGAAAGAAAAAAATGGGGTTATGCATTTTCCCCAAGGGTATTAGGGAAAAGTGAATGCAATGGATGAGGTTGTGTGCATTACACAACTTTACATATTTGTAATTTGACAGGAAATTTCACCAATATAAGAATTTGAAAGTGTTTGATTTTATGGTTAAAAAGTTGTTTATAAAAATATACCAAAGTTATGACTAACGTTATTGATCATAACACTTTTTGAAAAAGATTTTATTCTTTAATCAGACTGTTTGTTGGCTTACTGTGTAATTCACTTTGGTAGCTATAGATAAGGGAATGTGGAACATATCTTGGTTGGGATTATTGGGTAGTTGATTTTCTGTGAGCATTTGAAAGAGGTTCAGGATCACTAGCAAATATGTAGAAAATTTGTATACAAATTCATTGCGTTTAAAGCTCTTCCAGAATTAGATTATTTTTTTGTTTTATTTAAAATTTTTTTGGAAATCTGGATCTTGAGAGAATGAAGAATATGTTAAGTATGTAACATTTTGATTGATGATAAATTGTGAATTTCTACTTATTCAATATGCAGGAATACATTCATTTTTTACATTCCTTGGGTATGACGATAAACAGTTCTAGGACAGTTGCGTACTGGATATTTGTGTCATGGACATTTGTGTTCCTGGATAATTGCATACCTCTGATGATTTTTTGAAGCTTTTAAACACAATTACCATAAATTTTGAAAAAAAGAATAGGTAGTATGGGCAAATAGTGAACCACCCAAACATTATAAAAGTATAAAAATATATTTTTATAGCAAAAATACCAGCAATACATTTCCATATAGTAAAATTAGCAACAATACTTACTTAAAGCAAAATGACCAACAATACATTTTATCATTAATTGAAGGTAAACACTGTTCAAAATATATTAGTTGAAGCCATGAAATTCTATTAAAATTATTTAGATTTTGGCATTAATTAACCTATAGAGGTTGATATGTCACTAAAGAAAATCAAACAAAATTCATTTTTGATGTCATCAGTATTTGAGATTTGAATTAGTTTCAGGCGAATTTTTTGTAAGTTTTTTAAACAATTAGCCGAGAATTTTAATTAATTCAAGAATGTTTAGAGGTGAGAAATTTTTAAATTTAAGAATTTATAAATTTTCAGGAAGTTTTTGAGCATTGAAATTACACCAAAAGATGGTTTTGTAAACAAACTTCTTTTCCCAGTAAGGCTACAAATTTTAAGTCTGTTTGATATTACTTCTATAATGTTGCATACTGGTTGGGAATACTTTATCCAAAATTATTGGGACCAGAAGTGGTTCAGTCTTCAGACTTTTTTACAAAATTTAATAAATTTTGTGTACATGTAGATACACAAATTTTTAAGCGGTGGAATTAAGATTTCATGTAAAAATAATGTTTTGTACTTTGCTGTACATGTACAAAAAACATGATCACTACTTACAAAAATATATAGATGCAGTTGATATTTTGAATAATATCTTTACTGGGCATGAAACACCTGTTAAATAATCTATGAACGAAGGTGTTGCTGTGACAATCACTAACAATAATCTGGCACCAACATAGGCTACATAGCTAGGCTGGGGAGCCCCCACCCAGGACAGATGAGGTCACTTGTAACAGCTGCACATCACCTAGGAACCTTCACAGTGCTTTTTGAAAGTGCTTTCCATTTGTGACCAGTCATGTTAGCACCTGAAAAACTTCTGGATTTTGGAGGTTTTCTGATTTTGGAATTTTGGATAAAAGATACTCAACCTGTATTATGAATAACATTCAAGACGAAAGTGTGATTTTAAAAAAAAGAAAGCGTCCTGGGTATGACAATAAAATACATCCGGCAGCAAGGCCTTTGATTGGGATGTTTTGAGGAACATGGAAACACCTCTTAATTGTTAGTGTTCCCAGGTCCACCTTAACCCAAAGTGGTAGAACTTGTTAGGATCTCATCTATGGGCAAATAGTTAACTCCCAAATATATAAATGCAGTATTTTTTGACATTTTGAATATCTTTACTGGGCATGAAACACCTGTTAAATAATCTATGAACAAAGGTGTTGCTGTGACAATCACTAACAATAATCTGGCACCAACATAGGCTACATAGCTGGGCTGGGGAGCCCCCACCCAGGGCAGATGAGGTCACTTGTAACAGCTGCACATCACCTAGGAACCTTCACAGTGCTTTTTGAAAGTGCTTTCCATTTGTGACCAGTCATGTTAGCACCTGAAAAACTTCTGGATTTTGGAGGTTTTCTGATTTTGGAATTTTGGATAAAGGATACTTAACGTGTATTTTGTGCAGAAGTTAACCATTTCCAATGAGGGTTGACTGAGGCATGGTTAACATCCCTGTGCTGTAAGTGGAGCTATGATTCTCCTCATTTTAGATGGGAGAAGTTGCTTGGCCCTGGAGATTCCAACCCAGCAGCAGCACCTTCCTCATCACACTAAAGCAGTTGGGTCAGTGTAATACTGATGCCAGTGTGTCAGTGGTCGTGGGAGCTGAGCAAAAACCAATTTTTGTCCTTGCCCCATATGCATAGGTATATATATGGTGCTACCTAAGTTAAAATCACCTTGTGCCACATCCTGTCTTAGTGGGGAAGCTGGGTAAATATACCTGTATTTTGTTATTGTTAGATGATTTGGTGTGCTTGTTTATGTTACAATTCTGGGTGTAAACATTTTGTCTATACATGTTGATGTATCAACTGTTTGGACATTGATAGTACATGTGTTATAAATGAGTGAAGGGCATTTTCAAAAAGATTTTCCTGCATAAAATATCATTTTTCAATATACACATTCACATATAACATTACGAATGGTTTTTGTCAGTATGATAAACTGCAAGTGAACGCAAGTAAGATTTTGGTTTCAAGTATTTGTAAATAGAGACATCAGTTTTGAGATGTTTGTCAAAGTCATCAGTCAGATTTGAAGATTTAAAGGCTTTCCTGAAAACTGATCCCCAAATATCAGTGAAAGAACTTGTATCAGTTTATTTAGTGAAGTTCAAATAATTTATGTATACTTAGAGCAGAAAAAAAACAAGAAAAATAGGTACTATTTAAATTGAATGTGCACCAAACAAAATATCAAATATATGGAGGTCTGTATCAATCATAGCCATCGTAGTCATACATATAAAATTTATCTTTTTTTTTTTTGCATTATATAATAACTAAAAATCTACACAGAATCTAAAAGTGTTTTCACAGTTATTGGATTGGGAAATGAAATCAAGAGATCCAAGTTCAAATTACAGTCTAGTCAGTTATGTTCACTTTCATACTAATACTTTTGGGAAAGACCTGAATGTATCTCGTTTCCCTCCAGCTAGGTCTTATATACCAGGATAGACTGGATGCTATTATTGAGTGGCAACCAATCTAGAAGAAAGAAAACTAATAATTTCAAATCAGAATGTGGGAAGCCACTCCACTATCTTTCCCAAGAATATATAGATAAAATCAGAGATAATAAATAAAAAGAATCTTTGGAGAGCCATGATTGCCTACGTCCTAAAAGGTTATGACATTTAAAAAATCATATCTGTACAGTAAGTGACTAGATATGAAAATCTGAACCATTAAATGAAGCTGTTTCTTTCTGTAAGGTCATGTATCTTATATTAAAGCTTTCTTTTTAAAAAAAAGGAAGTGCATTAACTGCTCAAACAAAAAGTGTCCATTTGGATGGCTCAAAAATAGTCATTTTCTGTATAATGTATTATATTCTCATACTGTAAAAATTATATTACAGAAATTGAATGGATTGAAGATGGATATTTTATAATCCCATAAGCTTTCTATTAGTCTACTATTATTTTTACCAAGCATCTAAACTATTTTGTTACAGGCAAAAACCTCTCCAGTTAAGTTCAAATTGAAGTCTTTAATAAATTGATTATTTTCTTCAAGAAGGGAATTCCTAACTTATTACCAAGGTAGAATAACAGTATAAAGGTTAAATAAAGAATATATTTTTGTGTGAATTTATAAAGAAAATATTTTCTTTAAATAAGTTAGCAATTTTATCTGTATAATACCTCCCAAATTTAAATGAATAATATATATGCATACAATAGGTTTGAGAGATAGAGTAGTGGTAAAGTCAGTAATAAGAATAGCTAAAACCAATGCTGATATATACCTGGTTTGAATACAATTGGTATTAAAATTGATATTGTTATTGATTGAATTTATTCCTTCTCCCCATAACTTGGTGTCATATATATATATATATATATATATACACACACACACATTTAATTATTGATAATAACATGTATAAATAGGTAAACTTCTATATATATATATATATATATATATTATGAGGAAGAGTCTATCTACATAAGTTATGCTTAATTTTCACAGGTAATATAGAGTATTCATGCCCTGCCAACAGTGACTGTGAAATAACAAAACGACGTCGAAAGGCATGCCAGGCATGTCGATTCCAGAAATGTCTAAGTGTCGGCATGCTACGAGAAGGTAAGAAAATATTTTCTTTTTAACATCTATATATGTAATCTAGAAATCTACAAGATCAATATATTGGATTTATACATAGGTAATCAGTATTAAATTTTTCAACAAACATGTTTGTTGAAACACATTCCTCATGTTTTAAATTTCCATGTATCCATATGATATAAAATTTCCTTGTATCTATATGATGTAAAATTTAAATTTCTAAATAGATGTCAATGTATACTTTGTGTGTATTTAAATAGTTGTGAACATACCCAAGTATGCTCATATATGTTTTATTTACCTACTTTTATATGTGTGTGATTTGGGTTCATTTTAAGTATATGTTAATAGTATATATATGTGTGTGTCTGTGAGAGAGTGAGTGTAGAATTAATATGAAAAAGTTTTTTCACTTAACTCATGCTTACTTCAAAGTTTCATGGTCACATATGTATGATTACTCATCGAAGTTAAGTGAAATATGTTTTTCATATTAATTCTGTTAATGCTCTATCTACGAGCACTCTAGCATAAAGCCTACTTAACACCCACACACATATATATGCTCACACACATGCACAGCGTGATAGATAAATTGTCAATAATGCAGAAATGAAAATAACACTCATTTTAACAGATATATTTACCAAAATTATTCAAAAATATCTTAAAATACTAAAGACTAAATTTATTTAATGAAATCGACATTAGTTTCAACCACCCCCTCCAGATGATTTTGGAATCTCCTGCAGCTCTTCTGGATGGTCTCCTTGATTAAGTTAATGAATCCCAGCCTTTAGTTCATCTTTGGTGTTATAAGGAGTTTTGTTGGTCTTTCATTTAACTGTGCCCCACACATATTAATCAAGGGGGTTTACAGTCTTGGGAGTTAGGTGACCAAATGTAAGATGTGATGTGGTCATAGAAATTGTCAGACAGTCATGACTAGGTTCTCCTGCTTGTGTGGCATGGTGCAGAGTCCTGTTGCCAGACATAAGGTCTTCCAGCAGTCACCCTCTTGACACAGGGAAACACTACCTCCTCAAGGCACTTGATGTAGGCCTCTGTGTTGAGCCTAAAGTCCTGTGGGAATATAAATGGAGACATAATGTTGTCTTCACTAGTGATCACTTCAAACACTATGATGTTGACAGGATATTTGGTTTTCATCACTCTCAGTACATCTTTTGGGGACACAGCAAGCCAATGTTTGTTCTCTGTGTTCACCATCTTATCCTGGAAGAAATTTTTCTCATCTGAGAAAAACCAAAGAATGTTCGGTTGGAGTGGATGCTTGAGTTTGTTCAAAAGCTTCATAGCATGATCTTTCCTCTTGTCATTCATGGCTTGAGATAAAAATTGTCCCTTTCTCATCTTGTATAAGAAATACTGAATATCTTCATGCACTTACCTGCCTGATAAGAAACTTGGACACTGCTGTGTCCCTGGTTATGGACCTGATTGACTTGAAGGGATCATTGTCAATCATGGCCTGGATCTCATTAACAAATTCAGGAGTAATCTTATTAGAATGATCAAAGTGAGTTTTCCAAGCTGGCATACCTTCATACCCACCATTAGGCTCATCCAACTCTTTCTGAATACTCTGCACTATCATCAGATTGACACCCAAACACTCTGAAATGTTCGTATTGGAGCTTCTGGATGCAAATACCAAGCAGTGCAGCATGCCATTTCCAAATTTCTGGTGGAGTAAATTTTGTCATGGTGCTCTTTTTCTCACAAACAGTGCCTAACTGAGCCTATTATACTGTTCAGTCAACAAAATAAAAAGCAAACAATGTACATGTGCAAAATTAAAAATATAAAATGGTGACAATTTATCCATTGAAACCCACCCTCTCTCTCTCTCTCTCTCTCTCTCTCTCTCTATATATATATATATATATATATATATATTGCTGCCACATATGGTCTGGTGCCACTACTGTTTACCTTGAGCTCTTTCATAAAATCCAAAGAAGAATCAGCAATATTATTGGTCCTGATCTGGCAGCTGGGTTTCAGTCACTTTACCACTGCTGTAAGGTTGCCTCTCTATGCCTTTTCAATAAACACTTTCATGATAATTGTTCAGATGAGCTCTTCACTATGGTACCTAGACTTTTTGAATTTAAGCACATTACTAGACTGGTGTTGAGATCTCATCAATTTACAGTTGAGCTGGATAGTTGTAACCATAAATCCTATACTAACAGTTACTTTTTTTACACTTCTCATTTGTGGAACTCCCTTCCACCTCCATGGTTTCCAGCCAACTTTAATCTGTAAAATTTAAATGCAATGTCAATCACTATAAACTGTCTACCTGATTACTCTTCTTTAGTTCTCGCTCCTTAGCAATGTTTCTGTATTCTAACTCTTTCACACCAGTAATCCCTTGTGTCTCACTGCCTTGCATGGGGTCAACCCTATTTAAAAACAATAAGGTTCGGCCTGACAAGACATATAAAAAGACACATTGGAAGTGATGATGTTCAAAGTCAACTTTCACCATCCGGAGATGATTTAACATGCCATATATGTAACAAGCAATACAGATCAATGGCTGGCTTTATGAGCCACTGTTGTTCACATAAAAAAATGAATGCAGTGTTGTTAGTTGGTGGGGAGTTTAACTGATGGACTGGACATGACAATGATAGTCATACTTGCTTTGTGAGTCAACAGCCACTATATATATATATATATAAATATATGAATTATAGCACAAACTGCTGGTGTTATAGAAACAGTGCTTAATGTTATATAACAGACTCATAAAGTTTATATATTTGTGTATGTATACTAACTGTTAAGCACCTGAAAATTGTGTTTAGCATGAAACTCTGGGTAGTGCAAACAGTATGTTTTATATATAAAAGGAATCAATATCTACAAGCTACAGCCTAACAGATAATAGCAGAAATTTTTGTTATATAATGTTTAATTTGTTATGGATAATCACTACTGAATTAAGTGTGTTCATAAAGAAAGAGATTGCGTTAGAAAAAATATCTGTTGTATAAAATTTTTTTTCAACATTATTTTATGAATTTATTGATGAATGTGCAGGTGACTTAATGGATAGTGACTTGGAATAAGAATTTGTTTGAATTCCAATCAAGTTTGTTACTTTTCACTGATGCGCAAATACTGATAGTAAAGGTATAAAACCATCTGTTCTCCCCAGATATAGGTTAAATAGTATGAGTTGTGTATGGAAAAACATTATCTCTGAAAAATATTGTTAATGCGTAGTCACTTGCATAAAAAGATATTCTTACAATCCAAAAAATGTGTTTTAAATAACCCACACAGGGTTGATAAGCAATAAAAAACAAATCAATCAATTACAAACTTATTGATGTAGTTTTTATATATATATATATATATATATATAAACATATGATAGTAAAAAGTATGTGCATAATAAAATCAATATTGTGCTATATATATAAGCAGCATATCGATATTAGATACACATATATGCTCAAAGAGGTGCTGAAGGCCCACTTTCCAAAATTTAACTAAACATCGGATTTCTTTTTCTTGCTCAGGCTGAGAACTTTCCTGCATTCCTTTGTGTATGTGTCTGTAAAGCCAAGCAAACAAGTGGCAACTATATCATGGATGCAAATTTGTTAGTGACCTATTTACACTAGTACCTACCTACTTATGAATATATCTATCTAATCTCCCAGCTTTCTGGTAGGTTGGGGAACTTTTTATGAAACATTATTGACCTGAATTCAACTAGGCATATTAGAAAGTAGGAGGTGGTGGTTGTTAATTAAAGAATCAGGTGAGATAATGCTTCTTACTCACTTGTGTCAGGTTGGATAGGTTTGAGATTGTATGGTTAAATATTTCAAAGGTTTCAGCTACATATACCTTATATTAAATACATGTTTATGTAGTCTATATTAATGCCTACAAGAATGTGATAAAGTTTGTATACAAGTACATCTATGTTATAATTTTGAATGTTTCTTAGTTGTAATGAATTTTGGGGGATTTGCATTTTAATAGATGCATGAAGGAAGGCAGAAAAGTTCTCAGCCCAGCCAAGAAAATACAAAAAAAGAAAGAAAGAATATACAAAAAAAGAAAGAAAGAAAATATTTTGGCTGTTAAACATAACCTTGGTTTTTCCTAAGATGCATGATAAGAAATGTTGTCTCCCTGTTTTACTCCTCTTTATAACTTGATCTTGTCACTGTGTAATATTAACAGTATCCACACCTTGATTCTCCAGTGCTGTGAATAGTGGGGTGAACTCGATCAAGTCAAATGCCTTTTCATCGTCAACAAAGGCAAAGCAGTGTGGGAAGCTGTATTTGTTTGAGGAGGATATTGTGTGGTTGCTGTTGAATAATAAGTTTGAGATACTTGAGCCACACCAGTCAAAAAAAAAAAGACATCAGCTCCTATGCAAACAGCATTACCACCAACATAATGGAGACAGCAGTCACAATTGCTAGGAGTGGAAAGCCACTTTTAAACAGGACAAGTAAGAGAAAAGAGATGACAGAGGAAGAGAGATGGAACAGACACTCTGAAATCTGCAAGTCCACAGTATATCACATGAAGGAAGACCTCAGATGATATGATGAAGAGTAGCAGCTCAAAGCCTTGAAAGGGAATAAATGCTTGAATTTAATCAAAAGAAAGCAGTGTCTAGGTAAAAAGAACATCTTCACTTAGTTTGAAGAGAATGGCACACTCATCACTGACTTATAAAATGGTGTGAAGAATTCTACAGCAATTCAACAACAATCACATGACCTCCTGCTGCTCAGCATTGTTGCAGTATAAACCACAAGTTATTTTTTTAGGTGTTGAAGAAGTACTAATGTTCCTTAACAGCTGTTTAGCAAGCTACATTAGTAGATGAACATATTTGGAAACAAAAGCTTTTATATATTATGTGTGTGTTCAAAATTTGCGTGCTTAACATTAATTTTTCCCCCACATTACTTCTATGTATAGATGCATGTTACTAAATAAAACTTTCTACATTTGCCTTGATAAAGTTTCTCAAGGAATGAAACATGTTGACATAAAAGATTTTCCTCTTGTCATTTCTGTTTTTAATATATGTTTTTACAGCTTGCAGTTTCATAAAAAATTATCTTTTTTAAGGAGGAAAAATAAAAATACAATCTATATATAAATAATCATAATCCACTAAGAAATCCACCAAAAACAGGATGTAGAAATCCATGAAACTCCAATCATGTGTTGATATAATAAGAGAATTATTCTGCTAATAATCACTGTATATAAATTTTGTGACAATAAAAATTTAATCAGTTTTAGAAGCACATACATACAAACCTGTGTGGGCAGCTCAATGAATATTATGATCATTGCATTAGAACTGAATAGTATCATGCTTCAGCACTCTTGATACCCTGAGGAGCCCTCTCTTGGATAGTTTTGCTTACCCAGATGTCTAGGAAAGATGTGGAAATGGTTAACCAAATCAGTGCTTACTCAACCATCAATGGTAAGTAAAATATGGTTGTTAACCATTTACACCAGCAAGACAAAAAATATAGGATAACGGTTGGAATATGAAATGTCTGGATACTTCTTGACCACTAAGGGTCAAGTCATATATATATATATATATATAAACTAAGTGGGAGGAAGAACAGGGATAAAAAGAATTAAAAAAATATAACAAAGAAACAAACAAAAAAGGGGCTAACTAGTTATTGCTCATCACTCTTCAGAGGTTAATTAAGGACAAAACAATAATCAAAAACGGGGAAATATACTACCAGAGAATCTGCAATATAAATCACTGACAGATTACATTTAAACCCAGCAATTATTCCTTCTGTTTACAGAGAGGAGGCTGCCTAGACTTAATATAAATGGTCTCAAATGGTAATCTGAATGTTCTTTGTGGACTACTATGAAAAGATCTCTGGTAAAAGAAGAACTACAAGTTAGATTATTTATTAGGTGTTCCGCAATATCAGAACTGGAAGTATTCACAATTGTATGCAAATTTTGATACTGCCTTCTATGGATCTTAGCTGGTATGTGATGATCAATTCTCATATCTACTTCTGATTATTTTTGCCAATATATTCAGCATCACACTGACAATTCAAATCATAAAACATGGAACTATCATTATGTGGTGTGACAGAACATCTTTACAAATAGACTTCAACACAGTGAAAACAAACTTTGGATTAGTAGAAACATACCAAAGCTGCACACTTTGAGAGATTTGACTGACAAATCTTGTGCAAACCTTACTAATTCAAGGTAATTACAAATAGATGGACACTTTTCTGAACCATACAATTTAGCTTTATTAAATTTAACAATGTTAGCATGAATGCTAGATTTCACAATATCCAGTAGATAGCTAGTTTCAAATAAAACCTTCATAATAAATTCAATTTAAGAATTTAATTTGATTTTAAAACAAATATTTATATTGATGTCTTGGTCAAATTCAGTTTTTATGTTGTTTTTTTTTTAAGACAAAGAGTCCCAACAAGTGTATAATCCAGTAGATTGGTTATCAAAAGCCTTAATTGTCTTTTCTAAAACCAAATTAAGCTTAAGTTTAAATTTAATTCTAAATGTTCTGCCATTTATGAAATATTTTAGTGATCAAAACAAAAATCTGTGGCTGCTAAATTTGGTAAGAATGGAAGAATGTCCTACCTTAAAAATCTTATCTTTCTTGTGTTTGTTTTGCAGAGTGTACCAATAGCACCTTTTTTTTTTTTTACAAAGCAGACATAATGCTTCATTTACACAATCACGTTGTTGGTAGCAAATGTCTGCAGTGATTGTTTTTCCATGTCCAAGTATCTTGTAATGGATGACACTTTTCATATTCCACTTGGCACAAAGAATGAAGGCTTGGTTTGGATCTTGGTACTAATCCTTCATTTTATGATAGCCACTGTCTTTTTCATTTTCTGTTGACATGTAAAAAATATTTTTCATTATTTGAAACAATTCAATACAGAAATGAAAGACTGGTATTCCTGGTTAAATAACTTCTCCAGATGGTGGAATATCATAGCTGGTTCTCAAATGAAAGCAAATGAATTACCCAAATTCCCTCTTTGAAAGTTTTCCAAATTTACTTGAGATGTTCGTGGACTGTTGAACATAACACATTAAGTTTTTGTGCTAAATCTCTGGTACTTTGACATGAATTCAATTCAGTAGTCTCTTTTTAAAAGTTCTCCATTCAGAGTGGCTCATTTTCCAGAGCAAGGCTTATCAGATAACATATTGCAGTCACTAGTTTTAAACCTTTTAAATCACAACTGACATGTATCAGACTTCACCATATCTATATAAACCACACAAATGTTTTAAATGCCTCTGTAGCACTAACACACTTTCAGAATTCATACAGTAAGCAATGACAAACATGTTTCTTTTTTTAGGACCAGATCAGATTGTAATAAAGATGCTGGCAACCTTAGATGATTTTGGCACTGACAAAATTTCAGAAATAATAAATGAAATATACAGTAGTGGTGATATACCAGCATATATTCTTTTGTATTACTTACCTTATCCTAGATGCTCATTCTTTATATTTCAATGCACTTTTAACTAAGCCATTCCACTTTAGCTTTCTTGTATTTGTTTCCCATTTCCTTTTGTCATTTTTCTGGGGATTATCTCATTTACCAATATCACTAGTGCTTCTCTCAATGTGCTCCACTTTGAATTTCCAGTCTCATTCAAGATATATTTACTTTTAATTCTGTCAGCATACAACTCTTTGCAATGTGTATCATTCAGGAGTATGTCATACTGTATTTAGATATTGCTTTTACTTTCTTTAATTTCTGTCATTTTAATCTGAGATTGTATATGATTGGAAGGTGATCACTCTTGTAGTTGGCCCCTGGATAAGTTTTAATGTAAAACTGCATTTCTGAACCTTTTGTTGATTGTTATGTAGTTTGTCTACTGATGAAGGTAGATATTTTTAATTTTTTTTGTAAATTTTTTATCTTATATTCAACTTGAAATATATATTAGCATAACAAATTTGTCCAGTGAAAACTCGTTTCATCATCACATGTCTAGCATTACCACGAAATATGATCATGCTTAATTTTAAAAAGTGTTTGAGTAATAGGAAAAAAAAAAAAAACGATGCATCTACATAAATGCAGATTTTGAAAATGGAAAAAGAAATAAAATGTCTGAATGCATTCAGTTATAAATGATTTATTAGATTCAAGCATATAGTGTGACCCACTTCCTAAAATCTGACCAAAAACATCAAAAATATATTTTTTGACAAAGATTTCAGGATAAGAAATTTTCAGCACAGCCTCATGCATGTATTTTTGTTTGCATATATATCTATATTTTTATTATTTTTATTAATGCTCTATATATTTATTTTTGTTTATATTTTATAGGAGTTCGGTTAGACAGAGTACGTGGAGGTCGTCAGAAATATAAACGCAGTCCGGATTCACAACCTTTAACACAGTATCCAATTCATTCACAGACAATTATTAAGAAGTCATGTTTGGAACGTAAGTAAATACTATATTATTTTTTAATTTTTAATATGTTTTATTAGCACATGTAAAATTTGTATATGTTGGTGTGTATATAAATATGTGTGAGTGTTTGTGGACACAAAGTCAGATTTTATTATGCAAATCAATGTTTTCACAATAAAATTGATATTAACCAACTAATATTGTTAAAATTTTCTGGTTATGTTGATATGCATGTGTGTTTCAACCTATATATCCTTATTAAACACATTGATAATAAATTGTTTTGCAGGTGTCAGGTTTTTTTATATAATCATAGAGTACAATATATTTTTTTATCCAAAACATATGTCATAAGAACACGTTTAATTAACACAATATCCACATGCCTGAATAAATTATTTTATGTTAATTTGGACACTTTAATATTGTATAACATTCATCCATCTTTTGTTTGTCCATTAATCAGTTATTAAGATTCTAACCTTTTGAACTTTGACATTACTTGCAACAGCTTTTGTAGTTTCCCAAAGATCTTTATTAACAAAAAACAGGGATGCCAAATCAAGCATGTGTATCTACTAAAAATAAGCTTTATCATAATTAATACTTATTTACACCATTTATATTTGGGCTACTGTGCTCCTCTTTGTTGTTGCTATCACAATGTTTCAGACATTGTGCTCTCTGGCCTTCATCAGGTGTATATCGGTCTGAATAACCTACAGGGAATTCTAAATACTTATTTACACTATTTATATTTGGGCTACTGTGCTCCTCTTTGTTGTTGCTATCACAATGTTTCAGACATTGTGCTCTCTGGCCTTCATCAGGTGTATATTGGTCTGAATAACCTACAGGGAATTCTAAATACTTATTTACACTATTTATATTTGGGCTACTGTGCTCCTCTTTGTTGTTGCTATCACAATGTTTCAGACATTGTGCTCTCTGGCCTTCATCAGGTGTATATTGGTCTGAATAACCTACAGGGAATTCTAAACTGAACCCTTTATTTAATCTATGAGAAGTAGATTGTTTTTGTTCCACTACTCTTGTCTAGGGATATCTCATCTAGTTTTTATTTTAGTACTGCTCAGTTGTTGCTTGACCATTTCCACTGTACAAGTACACCCTGCCCAGCCCAAAGACTGAACTCACAATTACTATATCACCAAATTCACAAACCAATGCTTTAATTTACTAGGCTATTGTCCTATAGTACAATTCTCTGTGATTAAATTGGAGCCTTAAACATAATAATAAACACTTGTTAGTTTAAAGATTCTTGGTTGTAACATGTACCATTCTGAAAATGTATTGTCCAAGAATTTACAGTAATTCTCAATATTTATTTTGAGCCATCATAAACTTGGAAGAAACCTGAAATCTTACTGCCTACTATACTAACCCAATAGGTTGTTTCACCCACCCCCAGATTGTCTTGTCTTTTTTTTTTTTTTTTGATAGTCCTCAACTTCTTATGCAGTTATCAGGTCATTATGTAATTCTATATACTAAGAATTACTGTGGAGAAATCAGTTTTCCTGATTTTTACTGATTTGAAGACACTAGTGTTTCAAATAATATCTGCAACACTAGATTTTTCAAATAATTTCTTGCTTGTTATTCTTTTAATCTTTCTAAAATCTCTTTTTATGCCAGATATAATATTATAAGTATTTGTTGTAAAATCAGATATTATAAACTGAAATTTACTGTGTTTTATTATTGTACATTTCTAATAATTGTCAGCTTATAAGTGGGATGTTTTCACATTGTTCTTTCTACAGATGAAATTTTGGCCATATTGGGGTCATTTTCACACCTAATTATATTTTGTAGCAAAGGTTCTGGATGAGAAGTGAAGATGTGAGATGACACCCAAAAATAGAGATGCAAAATTTTTCAGCTACCTGACTTTTTTGTTTTCTCTTTACTGTTCCACTGTTAAAAGGCAAATACTGTTTGGAACACAACCAATTTTTTCCTATATATAAGGTAACTTTTGATAGACTTGCTGCATACTTTCCTAGACTAAAAAGTTTCCAAAGCTGAATGTAGATTAGAATATGAATATGAGCACTAGAATATGAACCATCAATCAGTAGCTAAAGAACTAAGAACATTTCATAAATTCTCTTGAAGTTTCAAGACCCTTGTAGTATTTTGGATTGACCATTTTGTGGTTGACCTCTAAATCTGTAGCATAGGTTTGTACTAATCAGGACAGCAAAAATTGAATCAAAGAAAACTGCAAGACAGGAGACAAATGAATGTGACTTGTCCAAATTAGTGTTGTTAGGAACCTATAAATATAAATTTAAGAACATTGACTAAAATGTTGTATTTCATCTAAGAAACCAGCATAAAACAAAAAGCTTTAGAAGGCAAGAGTTACTTAGTAAAATAATTGTGAGGAACGAGAAGACTTACTTCCTACAAAGCGAATTTGCAAGGCGTGTCAGGTCCTGTTGAAAGATTGCGACTGGCATTAAAAGAGAAATGGATTATTCCAAAATTCCCATATTGTGGACAGACGTACAAAGGAAAAAGAAAATAAATAAAATAAAAAAAAAACTAAGAATTCAAAACCAACTTGAATTCATAAAACTGGAAGTCTCAGGCGAACAAGATGTAAGACTCGTATGCAAATTTTAGTTCACAAACGACGGGCGAACTGAATTACTCACAATAATTAGGAATTCTACTATGTAGATATTTGTAATAAGATCAACTTCAGTGATGAGACTAAAATAGAGCTTCATTTTAATAAGCGAGAACTTTTATAGGAAAAGCCTACAGGAAAGCAAAAACTAAACAGATTACTGGAAGAAAACAGTGGAATTTGGAGTAAGAATCTAATGCTTTGGGATTTATAAAAAGTAATTATTCAAGAAAGTTGGTTAAAATTGACAGTAGCTTAAACACAGCTAAATACATTGAGTTGCTGAAGGAGCATTTGATACCAGATTTGTATGAAGATGAGATTTTTCAGCATAGACAGCTCTTCATGTCTCAGATTGTATACAATATGACTGAATCTAGTTGATGAAGGTGTAACCATATTGAAAGATTGGCCAGCTTGGAGCTCTTAAATATCATAGAACAAATGGGAACATAACTAAAGAGAACATGCAATCTTGAAGAGGTAAGGAAGTTCAGTCATAAAGAATGGTATTTCATACTTGTGAAGGTGGTAAAGGATTTGCAGTATGAAACTTCCTTGGGGTCCTGATGCAATTATTAAAATTAAGGGAAACCATACAAAATATTAACAATGTACATTATTTTTGCAAAATATGAAATATTTTATTTAAAACATTTTCTGTTTTAAGAGACTGTATTTGGTTTTGTACTTGAGGTAGTGGAAAACTTGTATGACAATTTATGAGTGTTCTCTCACATCTTTCAGAACTCCTTCAGAACCCCTCTTATGGAATATGATAATTATTTATGGGTATGGCTTCAACAGCAACAATGTTTCATTTGTAGAAAGTGTGAGGTAAAATATGCATTTATAATCTGGCAATTATAAGAAGTTTACAATAATTTTAAGTTGACAATGACATTTGCACATTAGTGTATTTATCATATAATTGTTGTTTAAAACCAATTTTATTATGAAAATATTTACATGCATAATAAAATCTAACATAGTGTCTATATATATGTACTTCTATCTTTTTATATGTATGAATAAAAAGTATTTTTTTAAATTATATAAAATGTATATATTATATAAATGTGTATGTACATACACACCTATACGTTTTTGCATATGTGTGTGTGTGTGTGTTTAGAACTTAATACAAGTAAATATTCTGTCTTCAGCTGTTTATCAGAAGTTGCCAAGGAGATGTAATTCAATGTCAGAAGCAATCAGCCTGTCCACAGACACTGATTAATCCATTTTGAAATTAGAAAAGCAAACACCAAACATGGAGATCAGAGCTTATATTCTTTATTCACTAAAAATGTAATACTTTTTATTATTATACAGAATTGACTCTTTCAACATTACCTCTGTTTGACCAGCCCTAAGCTCCTAAACACACTGTCTAAACTATTGGGAGAAAATGACTGAGTGACTGTCAAATCTATCCTTTGTGAAATGTAGAACCAACTATAAATTAATCCTTACAAGATATTTATTAACTTTTCAATCTATACCATCTCTAAACATATTTTAACCCTATTTATATTACATAACATCCACTCACATAATATTATGTCAGTTATAAAACTTAATACATGTCATGAAGATACTTTTTCAGTGATGTTAGACTAATCACTAGATTGATTGATTCATTCATTCATTTTCTACAGTTTATCAACTGTTTACAGCTTATTTAAAGCGAGGAAATATTTTAGATTATAAGAATTTTTTTTTTTTTAGATAATTGTTTAATGATACAAATCAACCTATAGCTGGGGGGAAGAAGAGATGGATTCATTCCTTTCCCAGGAGTATATACATGTAATTGAATATAACAAACCCAACAGGAATTGAGACTCACCTCTCTCCAATTAACAATTCCAAGCTATTATCTATTACACCACTCACACATCCAAGCTTACACACCTGGTATTTCACCCATCTAGGTACTGACCAGGCTCAACATTGCTTAACTTTGATGATTGTACAGGAATCGTTGTTTTCAACATGATATGGCTGTAAGTCAGTAATCACTGGAAATTTTCTATGAAAACTATCAGTATTCCAGTTCACTGGTTTTATTTCCATTGTATAATGATCCACATTGAGAAGTTGACAGACTTAAAATTAAGGAACAGCTAGAGGAAAAGCTAAGTGATTTAGTATCTCGTAAACAGACCGCCATCCTTGATGATCCTGTCTGTTATTTTATATTTTCACAAATCCATCATTTAGGCTGATTTTTAATTAGAATGATACTCAACTCTATATTTTGCAAAAAAAAAAAAAGTTATATCAAAATTTTTTTTTCTAGAAAAGAATAAATGAACAATTTCAATACTTAATGATTAGATTTTAAATAGTTTTTTTTTAG